TTATAAGAACTCAAACATGAAATAATTGAATAGTATGAAAATATAAATATATATATAAACAAATATTATAATGGGTTAATAAATGAATATGTTTTATTTATATTTTAAATCACATTCAATACAAAAATTAAAATAAAAGGAAATTTAATATGTTATAATTAAAATGTATCATTTTACATATTTTAAATTAATAATTTGTCTTTGTTATTATAACTTTATTGAATTGAGATGTATCATATCTTATATTTTAAAATATTATAATGTCGATCAAATTCTAATTTTATTTAAAAATCCATAATAAAATAGACTAATTCAAGAAAATCAAGTTTCCCCTACAATTTTCTTCATATATATATAATGTATAAATAATAAAATATAAAATTTTTACTCTAACCGGGATATAAACAAGTCAATGCATAAGTTAAAATGCTTACTACGATAAGCCTTCAACTATCAGGAAAATTCAAAGTCAATGAATCTCTTCGTTATATTTCAATTATAATATATTAAAATTAAAATTATTATTTTTATTTTTATTTGATTTAAAATATAAATTAAATACATTCACATATTAATCAGCTATAATATTTGTGTATATATATATATATCATATTATCGTATTATTTAATTATTCCATGTTGGAATTTTTATTAGGTCATTTATCCTTTTTTATTACCATTAACTATATATATTATGACGTGATAAACTTGTCATTTGATTGTGCAACCCAGTGGTTGGGGCTTTTACTTTTTATCTTTGCGTCTTGGGTTCAAACCCCACCAACATGGTTATTAATTTAATTTATTTTCTATTCATTCAATTGGTGACACATGTCACCATTTAATTGGATGAAAAAATTATTAAATTAAATAAAAATATTAAGAAAAAAATCCAATTACATAGTGACACATGCCACCATCTGATTAAAGATTAAATTTATTGTATTAATTAAAAGTTAGAACCAAATTAATAGAATGTGCAATTAACGATGACTAAATGCGTAATTATACAAATTTTATTTACTACCATGTCATCTCCTATGTTAATATTTAACAGCAGGTGGCTTGATTGACGATATTTAAATAGTTAGGTGACTCGATTGACAAAATTGAAAAATCAGTGGTTAAAGTACCCTAAAAACTAATGTTTTATAAATATTATATTTTAATTAAATTGCATTTAGATTTTCAACTAATTTATAATTATATGTTTAGTACTTTATAGTTTAATGATGCTCATCATTAAAGATCACACTCAACAAGCGTCGTGGAATTTTTCTATAAATTTACATGTGTATGACAAAGGATTCTTGTTGGGTCAAAGTTTATATTGTATTTAATTCATTGTATTATAATAATTATTTGATCATGAATAAGTTCTTTTTTATTGAAGTATGTTTTTTATATTAGTTTTGTATCTATAAAGTATGAATATAATTGCATTTATATTTTAGTAAATTACGTATTTAATTATTTAACTATCATTTTGGTTTAATTTTAGTCATTGGACTATTTTAAAAAAATCATCATTAATGTTATATTTTGATTTTATTTTGATCATCCGTCATTAAAAATTAATAGAAATGTTAACATAACTTTTTTAACTTTCTAAATTCTAATCGTTACATTATCTTATGATGACACATCAATATTACTGTTAAATTTTTAACGGCGATTGACTAAAATAAAACTAAAATATAATGTAAATGACGATTTTGAAAAATGAATAATTAAGTGACAAAAATGGAATCAAAGTAACAATTAAGCTATTAAATATATAATTTACCCTTATATTTATACTCACTTAAAAATATTATTTAATTATACTAAAAATTTTATGTTGGGATAGATTTTTTAAAAATTAAAAAAATTAAATATAAAAAAATTAAAAATTTCAGGAAAAAAAAACTGAATCCAAATCCATATCTATTCATGAATAAAATGGCATTTAAAATACTTTTTATTAAAATAATCCGACAGCTTTGGTCTATGGTTTTGGTCACCAATTTATCGAATCGAAATATCGTGATATGATACGAAAAAAAGTTTTACTTTTTATTATTATTATATTTTTTCTTTAGAAATTTAAATCGTCAGTTGTCAGTCATCAAGCAGTGGGTCTTTCAGCTTTACTTTAGAAAGTGGAGTTCAGCAATCAATCACTTTCTCTCTTTTTATTATTATTTCAATTATAATTATTTATTATATAATTTTATGTTACAAATATATTATTTAAAAAAATTAAAAATATATTTTAAAAAAAAGAAAATACATAAAATTATAATTTTTTTATCATTAATATAAACGGCTTGACCCCTTGATCAAGTGGTTCAATTTAGTTTAGTCCCTATTAAACATAAAAAGTCATTTTAGTCCTTGATAACCTTTAAATAGTTCTATCTCAGCCCCCAACATAGCGTTTATTTGCCTTTATTTAAAGATATATCTCAATTAAACTTTGACTATAATCAAAATTTATATAATTAAAATTATACATACAAATATTTATTGATGAGCTGATGTGAATTGTGATTGGATCTTAGTTCTCTTCAGTTTTATTTTCCCAAATATTTTTCTCTCCTATTATTATTATTGAATAATTTTTATTTTTCATATAATTTTGGCATAATTTTTTATTAATTTAATAATTGTTTGAGACGATTAAATGATGTCATAAGTAACTCATAGAGAAACGATTACGATGTCACTCTTTAAAAGCTAAAAAATCCCTTTCAATTGGATAGACTTTTTTTTTTTGAAAGAGGGTACTTTGATTAAGAATACCAAGGATCCAATTGGATGGACTTTAATTGTTATTTTCCCATTTTCTCACAAAAACAATATTATTATTATATATACAAAAGAGTGGTTATTATTATTTTGTAATAGGTTGTAAAAGTAGTAAGTACGTTGAGTCCTTTTCTCAAACGGCTAGACTAGGGATCAATCATGCAATGGCTCGTAATAATATTGTATATCATTTTTTTTAATTTAAAACTCAATTCATAAAAAATCAATAATATAACCATAAAAATTTCAATTAGTCGATATTTCTCAAGTTATTTTTTGTATAATCACTTGTATAAGATATATTAATTAATTAATTTGGATCGAGTATTGTAGAGGTGATGGCGACTCTCTCAAATAAATTTGCTCTATTAACAAACATAAGGATTGATATTTTAACCTCTATGGCCACGGTATGAACCTCCATGGCCAAGGTATGAACCTGTAACATCATTTCATATCCTTATGCAGGGTTTTACTTGTAGGGAGCACTTCCCAGTAAAATCGTGCATATGAAGATTGTATATGAAAACTATTCAATTCTGTATTTCTTTATTAACTTATACATGCATTGTATTTTATTTTTATTTTAATTTTTGGACTGCCTGAGGTCTTCCACGGAAGCTGCTATTAACCATGCGTTGGGGCAGCCTACTACCCTACCTCCCCCTTACCCCATTGCATATGAGAATAGGGTTTTGTTGTTGTCAATTAAAATGGTTTGCTTGAGATAAGATTATTATATAATAAGATACTAAATTATTTTATTAATATTTATGTTTTGAATAATCTAGAGTAATTACAAGGATAGTCTATGTTCATAATATTTCTTAATCATTGGCAATACTTTCTTTTAACAATGAGTTAATAAAATGAAAATAAATGAAAGAAGTCTAAAGAAAAAAAACTTGCAAATACAAAACAAGAATAAAGGTTTCACATTTTTCATATGAAAATAAGAAAAAAAATATTAAACAAAGAAATGAAACAATGAATAAAAAGAAAAGAAAAGATGATGCATTCTTCACTAAACTTGGATGATTTATCACTAAAATACATAGATAATTTTTTTGCCTTTATTTTCTTCTATATTCGTCCCTAAAAAAAGACGAGCAACAGCTAATTATCATTCAAAAATTAATTTATTCTTCAGCTTAATTAGATGTAGAAGTAATAATGACTCAGTTTAAGCCACCTCATAGCTTGGGATATCTTTTAGAGATGCAATTGTTTGTTTGACATTCCAATCACTAGTAGTTGGAAGTTAATGCAGAATTTAGTGATTCATTTACAATTTCACATTTATTTTTCTCTTAAATTGTTATTTTCATATTATTAATATCTAATAGAAATGCGTCACATATTTTTATGATAAATAATGAAAAAAATAATTTAAATATCAAAATAAGATACAAAGAAATAAATTTTTATGGATAGGTTATAAATGAAGTCTTACTTTATCTAAATTAGAATATATCCCTCGAATGTTATAGAATCGAAATTCTGAATATAATATTTAGTTTATCATTTGTAGGCACAACACAATAATTGAATGAATGAATTCATACATGAAATGTAACAATTTTGACAAACTTATAAAATAAATTAGTCGAGACATGATAAAAAAACATTTTAATATAATACGACAGGGCAGGACGGGACACAAGGGCAATGAATAATTACCAGAAAAATAAGGCCTTTCAAATTCAAAGTATAAGAAAATTCTACGAAGTAGATTAGTCATTATGCATGGAGAACATTCAAAATATTTTTTTTAACATCAATTTTAGATTAACTCACGAAATGAATTTTTTTTATATAACGTATAAAAAAATATACCACAAAACATACTTTTACATATATGACAACACGAATATAAGAATGGGTGAACGAACAAGTTTCATCAAAAGGAAAAAAAAAAGAAACACACAATACATGTTGAAAACACGTATTTATTGTAAAAAAATGTATTTATACAAACATTCAAGAGTTAGATAGTGAGACGACACGTGTATATATATACTTATCTTCAATCACCTAATAATTTGCATAATTAAAAAATTATATGGAAACACACCGAGGGAAAAAAATAATATAAAAATTTGATAATCACATAATCAAAATTATTGATTTTGGGTTTCCATGCTTACGAAAATGGATCTCTATTTTCTACACACCAAGGAATTAATCAACTCTATCTACTTACAACCGTTGGGCTGCTATGTTAATGCTTTAGCTACCAATTGAATTTTTGTGGGAAAAAAATGGATCTTCTCACCTATTTTCCATTAACAAACTCCAACAACCTAAACCGTCCTCGACTGGAAGATTGAGATCCGGCAGCTCAAACGATGTTTCGTTGCAACTTGCCATTGCCATATCTTGTCCTTCACAACATCCAATAGGTGTAAGCAGTTCGTTTTCTTCGTGCACTATGCATGTATGACAAGCTACTTCTCTTTCCAGGCGTGCCTCTGAGATTGCATCGTTTGGTTCGATAGTCATTTCCATTGCTGGGTGATAATCGAACTGCAAAGTAGAGAGAAATGGGAGTAAGAACTAGGAATCCATACTTGGAAGCACATGCAGAAAGTTGTTCTTTTCACCTTCGTTCTCTTAGAGCTTTCTTCTGTGGCTCTGTCTTTCTCGAATTCGAGCTTTCTGCTCAAAGTTTTGTTTTCGGTTCTGATGTTCTCGAATTTGAGCTTCACAATCTCCAATTCCTGCTCGATGAGCATAGTGGCAAGCATTTCAATAAAAGAAAGAAATGTTCCAAATACAAGTATTGAGATGTACAACAAGTTAGAGAACACACATTCTTTAAACTCTTGTTTTCCTTTAAGTGTGAACTTATCTCCTCTTTAAGTTCAGCTAATGTCTGCATACAACCAGAAGTTAAGCCACTGTCAGGAATAAATATAGCAATGGAATCCCTGAAAAACCCCAAATCCAAGAGATGTATAAAACAACTATTAATCCTCGAACTTGACCCCTAAAACTTTTTAGAGTCCATATTAGACCTTGAATTTGATAACTTTCCCCTTTTTAGTCCTCTTGATGACATGATACTCTGAGATTGTGCAGCGTGGAACGCTCTTACAGTGCCACATCATGACCAGAATTTAAGTTTGACTAATGTTGAAGGAAAAAAGTACATCTGCCAAGTTGAAAAAATGATTAAGTTTAGGGATTAAAGGCTGTTTCATCACTTAATTATATATATATAAATTAAGATACAGTAAATATTTTCAAGCCATCAATATAATACAATCATGGACTCCAAGATTACTACCATTGCCATCAATGGAAACAACAAAACGCTAAATATGGCGACATAAGCCCATTCCATGTATGAAAAACATACAAAGTGGGGTGGTCAAGAGTTGGTGTCTAATATTTAAACTTATAGGTACCCAAATTGCCATGAAACCAAAAAAAGAAGGCAAGACTCCTAGTAAATAGGAGTCTTGGTCATGGTTAACCCTTTTAAAAAATTAATAATTCAATTTAATCCCTTGTAATCTCTTGGTTGAATAATAAGAATACATTTTTGATCCTCTCAAAAATAATTTTTTTAAAAATTTCATCTAGATCCCAATACAAAATTTCTAACTTCATCATGATGGAGACATAATGTAATTTACACGTAGACCATAAAACAACTAAAATACATGGAAGAGGTCAAAATGTTGAAAGTGCTTACTTTTTTCCTCCGAGACCGCTTGGGAGGGGTAATCTCCTTTGTCGTCGCAACCTAAATAAAAAACACGTGCGCGCGGAATTAAGATAGTCAACAATCATATTCCTTGGTCAAATTCTGTCATTAATCCATATACTATGTTTGATCAAATTTTGTCATTAAGCCATATACTACATATAAATTTAGTACATTTACTGTAATTATCAATTAGTCATTACACGTTTTTTTTTATGAAATATAGATAATTAATTATGACCTCAATCGCATATGAATGTCGTTCATTTCACATGGAAAGACCTAACTTGTTGAGTCCTCATCGGAGTTTGCAAGATTAGGAAAACTTGATTCCTCTAGTCCTAGGGAAGCTTGGTTTTTTATAATACCAAAAAAAAAAAACAAACTAAATTACAGGACTTAGAATTATCAAATCCGATAACGAAAAGTAAATATACGACGTCCAATAGCAAAATGTCTACCATACCGAAATTTAAAATTCATAACTCATAATATAAAAGAACATAATTACATTGAATCCATTGAGTGGTTTCAGTAGTAAAAAGGATATTGTTCTTACTAGAGACTCGAGCTTGAGTAGTTGTGTCTGCATGGTGTGTGCATATTGTCACTAGGCTAAAAAAATTCTAAACGGATAATACCTTGTAACCACCCCATATTATTCACAAAAAAAATAACTACATTATAAAACTTAAAATTATCAAATTCAATAACAAAAATATCTATCATACTACATTATAAAAATTAAATTACAGAGCTTAAAATCATCAAACTCAAAAACGAAGTCTACCAAACCGAGTGCCCAAAAGAGGGAGTGATATTTAGGGTTTGGTCGAACCAACTAATAACCAACCAACCAACAAAATGGCAGAGCTTGTGCCATAAATTTGGTGGCAAAAAGTGGTCCCCACTTGACCCACAGTTTCCCACCTAAATGTGGTGGTATTTGTCTCCATTTCTACATGCCATCCCAAAGGGGTACACCTTTTTTTTATCCTACCAGTCTGTTGACTCTCACGTATCACTGCCCAATCAGAAAGGGGTATTGGGTTTTCCGTACGAAAGCTGTCATGTGTATTCAATGATATACTATGAGGACACGTCAGAGCAAAGAGAAAAAAAAATCCTTCTAGTTGAGAGCGCACTGAATCATTACCTCTCTCCACCTTTGATGAAAACAGCCAAATAGAACGCATTTTTTGAAGTATATGAAGCGGAAAGCCATTCACATTAACCAACCCTAAACTACACTTAAAAAACCTATTTTGCCACGCAACCGATAATTCAGGCCCATCATATTTTATGTTTTAACCATGTTGTCCCTCGAAAACTCCTAATCTTTTGACGATTGTTCAGGATAATTTCGTCATTTTAACGTAAAGATATTGACCCTATTCGGTTTGATTTCAAATGTAACTAAAACTAAGTATAATCAAGAGTTCAATAAGATTATAGATTAATCCAAATTAGTATATCAATAGAACATAATGACCAAAATGTCCAGGGAGAGGAGGGTGTTTTAGACTTTCCCAGAAGTGGATATGACACGGGGAGCATTGTGAGAATGATGAAAAGACAAAATGTGAATCTACGCGTTGAATGGAAGTCACCGAAATTTCTCTTCGAAGAATAAACGAAAATTATTTTTAAAATAGAAAAGGGCATTTCGGTCAACGCATGAATAAATCGGTTCGGTGGCCGGAAACGATGCTCGATCTAATGTAGAATGAAGTTGAAGTCCTAAATTTTTTTTTCCCTAAAAGTAACTACGTCAAAAATACAAAACACGGCACCAAGACAAAAAAACTAGCGAACTGAAAACCAGAGTCAACAACACGAGTCACCGAGTCCCAAAAAAAAAGAGATACGAACCTTAGATCTAGCGTTTTCCACAGGCTTCAAAGGAGGACGGCTAGATTCCTCGGAACCGTCACCGCTACCGCTTCCGCTAACAGACACGCCACCGCTCCAAGAAAGTGGCGTGTTGGGGCTGGCACGTGTCGGTTCAGCTTTATTCTTGAGAGATTGCTTGGACCGGCGTTGACGGACGCTCCATTCGATTTGTAAAGCTTGGGAGGTGGCGCTGCCTGACCGCGGTGGCGGAGACTCCGATTGGAAGAGGCTGAGTAAGGCCCTTGCCGCCAACGTGGAATCGGTCAAAGCTTGTTTGACCCAATCATCTTCACTCATACTCCAACTTGGTTGAGTTTTCCAAAGAGGAAAAATGGAAGCTTAAAGCAAGGAATAAAAAGAAAGAAAATGGCAGCGAAGAAGAGAGAAAACGAAGGGAAAAAACATATGTTTATATCGATTATCGAAAGAAGAAAAGAATAGATGCTTGGTTTTAAAGTCATGCGGATTGGTTTTTAATTTTAGTCAAAACATTCTATCGGTCCCTGTACTTTGGTAAATTTGACATATAATCCATGTATTTAGAAAGTTAGATATTAAAATCTCTTATGTGTTCACTAATCGAATCTTTATTCACCCGAAATCTGTTAAAGGTAATGTTTAAACATTAAAATCTCCAACATATTTGTTGATTATCTTAATATAATTATATTGAACCAACGTCGAACGTTCTTTATATATCATATATTCATATATGCATTTGAATTTCAAAATTTTTAGAGAATTTTGTTGTAAATAAAATTTCAAAAGAGAATTTTCAAAGAGAGAATTTCACAACACATAAAGATAACGTCTTCAAATGGATCTTGAATATCTAACATCTCTCAATTAATTGCGATTTGTTTGACATGACCTCTTACAAGTCCACATGATTTGTCAGAATCAAATATATCGCTAATTGACTATATTTACCTAATCTACTAGCTTATGAGTAGTCAGAGTTACCACACACCTGACACCAACTTGAAAAGTCACCACCACACACTCACTCCCCTCTTTTTTGCCTCCTCCTTATGGAGACAAAATATTTAGATAATGACCAATACTTGATCCACCATCGATTGTGACTCTCTATCTAAATCTAAAAAAAAATTGTCTAAGATGACTATAACCCATTTGATTTCATCAACTAGTTAATATTTATTACAAGTCATATTTATCTTTACGTGTGTCTCATAAAAAATATTAGCAGATTGATGGATCATTATCCTTATGAGTAAACCTTCTGATGCTATAGTAATTCTTAGATGATTGTGGACTATAGCTCAAGAAAGGTGACAAACTTTCTATTATACTAAAATTTTATATTTTCATTTGGTTGATATATTTTAAGGAATATGGTTCAAATGCGTTTAATGCCAATAAACACGTTAAGTTGGCAAAATTTTGACGGAAAGTACTAATTTAGATTAGGATTTGCAAATGGAAAGAGGTAGAGAATTTACGATTTTCAAGTATAGGATTAAATCTCAAACTTTGTTAAAACTGTAAGGACTAAAGCCATATTTTAATTTTTTAACTATCTAAATAATTTTTGGACGGTAATATGACACGTGCCAAAAACTGTCAAGAGTTCTAGGTCACGTGATGTTTGGATTAGTTAGGACTTAAAAGGTCAAGATGTTAATAAGTATGGCTTAAAGCTTTCTCTATAAATTGTGTATTTTCTTCTTTATATTTATAAAAATTCAAAAATAAATAAATACATTAAAATTGTAAATATTGAATATAGTAAACTATATTTAGATATATTTTATTATCATTTATATTTTTATTTATTAAATAATCATATTTTCTTAAATATTTTGATAAAAATATTAAATACTAAGATAAGCGCTACGACAAAAATCTAAGAAATTAATAATAGTTACTCAAAAATATAGAGATAAGATTAATGTAATTACTTTACTTTAGTTAAATTCTAATTCAAATCCGAAGTTGGCTGTCAAATTTGATTTCAACGTTAGGTTGATTAAGTTATTTTTCTTTGTTTTCTTATATTTTTTTAGGTCGTGAGTTATAAACTCACTAGAATCATCATATTTCATTCTCCTAAAGTTCTCCTTTCCCTTTGTCTTTAGGTATGATTATTATGATTAATTTTTTTTAAAAATAGTAACATGGTAAATTACTTTTTTTCCAACGCTCAACTTTTTTCTTACTCATATTTTTATAATTGAAGTTTAATTTTTAAAATTTAATCACTTAATTCTCAAAATACTCTTATTGTAATCACTTCATCGTTCAACAATTAATGATATTATGACATAGAAATTTACATTAAAATAAAATTGTCTTGGAACCCAACTGAAAAATAAATTTGGATCAAAATAATGTCATTTTTTTATTCTTATAAAAAGTTATTTTCCCCTCCTTTTTATTTATTATTATTTCTCTATTTCTCTCTCTATAACATGAATCAAACTTAAATTTCGACCACTATGTTTGTTATTGTTCTGACCACTATCGGCCAACAGCACTAAAGGTCGACGAGTCTCATAATTTCTCACTAAATTTGTCTCGCCCTTTTTGAATAAGAATTTGGTATCTGTTTAACTGGAAAACACCATGAGTTCCATGAACACATCTTTTAAAAAATTCAATCTATTGAATCTCACCGTTCGACATCACTTTCGACCACTAATATTGTCGTTAAATTCATTTTTTTTATTCTTTTACAAGTATTTCGATTTAATTTATTATAGAAATTTAAAAAATATGTTAAAAAATCTTTTAAACTTTCAACCTTTTTCCTACAACGACTTCAACATCTACGGTTACATCACCACAATTTTATAATATATTATTCTTATCACTGACTTTCGACCTTTTCTTTTTTGCGATTCTTTATCTGGCTACTAAAGCGGTGAAGGTGAACATGAGATTCGTGATCTAAAATGGATTATGGTGTTTAGGGTTTGATTACGCTCTAGGATTTAAGGGTTTATTGAGATGTGAGGTTTAGGGTTTAATTGGGATTTATGGTTTAGATGAAACAGATGTCAAATTTGAACCTAAGAGATTAAAATAGGATAATCTAAAATTTCTAGGTCCAATGGTAGCTGACAACCACGGTTGACGTGATGATTAATATAAAAAATATTAAATCAACACAATTAGATAGATAAACGGTTTAATAATTAAAGCACAAATAATTCAATAGACGACTGAATAATTAAATCATAAATAATTCAGTAGTTCAATGATTGAATTAAAATTTTATAAACTTCCTTGAAAAAATAGTAAGAATTTTTTTTAAAGATAGTACTTTGTATTAATAAATGTAAAATACACCACCTCAAGACCCTCGTTAAATTTTTTTTTTTAATCTTAGTTGGAGGAAAAAGAGTGAACCAAGAGGTGGAAGAGAACTAATACAAGGATGCCACAGTGCCACAAACATTACATACCTCAACCCACAACGGAACTCACACAAAAACCTATACATACCAAATAGTATGATGAAATATAAATAGAAACACCATCAAAAACAAAAATCAGGTGAACACAATAACTAAGATGCAATCCGAAAATAAAGGCTGGAAACATAATCGCCAAAAACTTCTGATCACTGCAAAACACCATGACTTCCTCGATCATCAACCCAGCACGCATTATAACATAAACAATCTTTTAGGAGCCATAGATCCTAAATTCAGAGAAAAATCTCCTAGAACACAACCTTAATCTTTGCGCAATCCCCGACAATCGATCGCCAAACTCTAACTTAATTGCAATGATACTACTTAACAACAAAAGAAAGCCATATTTTCTTTAAATCCGAGTCTGATAGAGACCTATCAGATAATTCAGATGAATTTAGATCAGATTTCAACAAGTTAAATCTTTCAACGCACGATCTTTTTTAAATTTCTCAGCTTTCGATATTACTTTGTCTTGAATATCCAATAGCGAGTTAAATTTATGCTGCTTCCTATTCATCCTATTGGTCATCACCTTATAACTAGAAATAACATAAATATTCGATACAAGAGACTTGGACAAAGACCACTCCTCCACTGTTTTAAAAAATAACAACTTTGAACTCGGACCATCCAAAAGCCTTAGACTGTTGGAAGATGGCTTAGGCTGCCAATGATTGGCATCTCTATTAGAAACCGGAACTCCAATGCTCTCGTCAATGACATTGACCGAAAGTCCAACACTAGGCACAATGGGCAATTCAAAAACATTGCTTTGAATAACCGCACGCCAATCCAACTTTGTACCCATTTGCACCTAAGTATCTATCTCTATTGCATTCTACAGTAGAAACTCTTTAAATTAATACTCGGTAAATTAATAAATTCTCTAAAATAATAAATTTATTCGGTCTCGATTTGGGCCAATGTAAAAAATTGAAAAACTCGATAAAATAATAAGATAATAATTTTTCGTGAGATCCATTTATAATTTTCGGTCCCAAGAAAATCATAAATTAATAATTCATAGAAACTGAAAAAAATATATTACACTCTATTGAAATATGATTCAATAATTGTCTGTTTTCCTTTAAAGTTCAAGTCTATTTGGAGCTCATTATTAATTTAAATCATCTCTTACAACGTAATTCTAAGAGACATAGACTAATTTGTCTTTTTGTTTGATATGTATAATATAATTACTTAAAAACTCTTTAAATTAATAATTATTAATTTATCGATAAATTAATAACTCTCTAAATTAATAAATTTCTCCAGTCCTGACATTATTAATTTATAGAGTTTTAACTGTAATAATAACCACCACTCCAATTACAAAGAAGTGCTTGCTCCACTACACCATAACGTGATGTCTGGGAAACAAAATCCAAGCTGCCCATGCTAGCTTCAACACCTTTTTTCAAAATCCCTCCTTATTCTTAATCCTATTCATAGGCGTAATTGGACCATCAACCGTATTATCATCGAGACCAACTTCCAATTCCACTACAGGACCCACTTTCGACATAATATAAACCTCCTCCGCATTGTCATTGCCACTCCTTTGACATAAATTAGAATGCACAACCTTGTTCAAAAGAACATCCTTGTTCTTAATCCTATCAGAATTCGAACTTGGACCCTCAACCGCATTAACATCGAGACCAACTTCTAATTCCACTACATGAACCACTTGTGGCATATTAAAAACCTCCACCGCATTGGAATTGTCACTCCTCTGACATAGTTCATCAAACACAACCTTGTTCATAGACGACATCACCACCTCTACCGCTTTACCGTCGACACCATCACACAATTCCACTAAAGCATCCACGTGAGCCATCCCTCCAAAGTAAAATAAGTGTTACTCCTCTAATTTAAATCAATGAGCGCAGCTGCCCCATTACGAGCTGCCTGAGAATCTGATTCGTTCACCCATTCCTCTTCAATACGAAGACCTACATTT